TTTTTCATTGAATGTTTTTAGATCCAGACTGAGAGCACTTGAGACATTCTCATTGAAAAGTAACTGTTTTTATAATCCGTAATTTTATGAAATTGTATATGACTGTTTTTATAATCTGTAATTGTACGTAACTGTTTTATGATCTGTAATTTTATTTAACATTTGTCCAGGACTCCCTTAAAAAAAAGGTTGTAAATCTCAATGGGTTAACTTGGTAATTAAATTAACCCCTTTTAAATAAAAAAATATAAAAAAACTATATAGTTCTTTTCATTTTTTTATTTTTTTCATTTAAGTGACTTTTTGGCGTGCCACTAGAGGGAGCCGGGTCTAGTGGTACGCGGGGTACCACACTTTGAGAATCAATGGCTTAGAGGGTTGAGGCCTATGCAGAACAGCAGTGGGGACAGAGCATCTCCTTGGTAGATACCACATTTGATGGTCACTTGTGTGAGCGTCTTGCCATTTGCCTCAAGGGTGGTCTTCCACATCCCCATTGAGTTTTTCCTGTTGATATTGTACAACTTCAAGCATTCCATGATCTATGTGTGTGATCCATGATCCATTGAGTCGTAGGCTTTTTGGCAACCAATCAAGCCTGTGCACAGGTTGGTGTGTTGTGACCGGCAGTCTTGAGCGACTGTTTTGTCAACCTCTGGTATCTCTCCCTTCTGTGCTGTGCTCATGAATTGCTAAAGAAGGATAAGTATTGAGACAGACTCATGTTTTTGACAATTTATCATGAGGTATAACATCCCATCATAGCTTAAAGTGAGGAGACAGTATGAAGTTTGCAAATATTGGGAAAAAACTCCACACTTTTAACACTCACTGTTCATCCCTGCTGCTGCTCTGCCACAATAGTCCTCAGTTCCTGTTTGCTCATCAGGCATTTTCCCATTCAACAAGTGGAATGCATATTTTTACTGTCTCTGCTAAAGCATCATCAAGCATTTACTTTTAATGCCCTGGTGTATAACAAAGTGTCCAAGGCAGGACTAGTGTTGGAGGATTGCATCTTCACGCTAAATATGTATGGTCCTTTTTGGAAGATTCCATGATGTCCCGTGTAATTTCAAACATGTTCCCCGGCTTGACGGATATACAACTATAGTTTTTAGTTCCTATAAATACTGTTGGTATCTGTCCCGTCAACATCAGACACGAGGAATAACTGTAAGCCATCACCCACATGTGGAGATTAAACACACCTCTTATTCCACGTCCATCCACTGGTTCCGTATTCACAGACAGACACACTCAAAATGTGACGCCCTGACCTCTCTTCCTGCTCTTAGTCAAACCGCTTTAAACAAACACTCACTGCACCCCCACCCCGCGCCCGTGATGGACAGGGGGCCATGACAGGTGCCCAGGTCTGATTAGAAATATGATAATGGGCTGCGCGATGTTTAAATGCTAACATGAGGTCTGGCGCGCTGACTGTAGATGATGCGCTAATGCAACTCTGGCTTTTGTATAACATGTGGGAATGACAAATAGGGTTTTGTCATGTGTGAGCAAAATGCAATCATAGCCTCGTGTTTGGAGTTATTACAAAGGGCAGAGAGGGATTATTGTGAGCAGTGAACATGTGCACAGACTAAGCCGAAAAAAAAACACAAGACGCAAAGATAAAGACATGTCGGGGATTGTCCTTAAAGAAGATGCAGACCCGCTTTGTGTTGGGGTTTTGTACCAAACTATAACATGTGGATCATGTTTCACGAAGGACTTTTGGCACAGTTTGAGAGCTTTTACTGAGAAGTGTTGTCAAAACCATCTTTATGTATGATTTTGAGCGTGCACATGGCAACATCACTGCTGGTGCCGAGGGGAGGACCAGAGACAGCAGAAAAAACCTTGGTCTCAGCATCATCCAAGTGTTTCCTTTGACTTAGAGTTGAACAATTAAATGCAGTAAAATGTTGATAGATGTTTTTTGATCCTCAACCCTTTTGCAGTATTACTGATGTACTTGCTTGTAGCAGGATCTCCAAGGATGCATTCAGGATGCATTAGTATGTATTTTAGGGTGCGTTCAAAAACCGAAGTGATCTTTTAGAGAACCACCAAACATGAGCACTGTCCCATTAGTCATTTTGGTGGTTTCTCATCACCACAAATTTGGAGACGTTTACGTTTTCCAGTTCACTTAAAATGAACTCTGACCCTCAATTAAGTGAAATTTCCGTATGTTTATTAGAATATTATGTGTTTACTTTGTTTGTCCTTATCCTCAGAATTTCAAACGATAAAAATCGGTGCTTTGTGTACTGGGTGGCCTCTCTGGCCACTACCCAGGACCCAGAAATTGATTAAGGGGTAGAAAATGGATGGATGGATGTATTACGGTTTATAAGACAGTGGCGACTCTCACATGTGTTAGTCCAACAACAAATCAAATGAAAGGAGTGGGTCTTAGTCATTAAGCACTATCCCCTTGCCGTCCCGCCCCTCGCCTCACGTCTTCATCAGCACTTGTGTTTTCCGTAAAGGGTTAATTCAATCATGTCGGCACCGGCGTGCTTCAGTGCTCCGGGGCCATCGACGCCACCTTTGCCTCCACAATAGAAGCTAATTTGTTTGAATCTTTCACAGGTCAGGAGGCTGCTTAGAGGCTATAAGAAGCCGAAACAAAGCCATCCACACAACTCAATACCTTTTTTTTCTTCTTTTTTACGAGCACAGCCACAGCAAACATAAATATCCATTGGTTTTCCCCATCGCCAAGATCTTCCCGGGTGTCCCACTTAGCGCAGGTTAATAGAGTCATTCCGCTGACATGTCTCATAATGAACAGTAAATTGTTTTATCTCTCTTAAGTATTTGGTCAGCCAGGAAAACATAGGAGCTAATACGGCCGCAGCTAAATGGAGCGTATAATAGATCTGCGGGTGAGCCATGAGGGGAGGTTGATGGCCGGGATATGATTTATGGAAATAATAATACTGCTGAAATTGAAATATTTGGCTCTTATTCTGGACGCTTTTCTTTGCGTGATGGATTTTTGACGCTGGTAGCTTTGTTTATGTCCAGTGGGGTCATTGAATGCTCGGGAAAATAGTGGAATGACCCTTACATCATTATTTTATATCAACATAATAGGCTTTTTAATATTGGCACAGTGCTTCTCCTCAGGCAGATCTTGTGACATGTGGATTCACATTAGAAGCAGGGTTTTGGTGTTAGGTGTTTGATGTTAGGTTATGATACACACAAGCAAGATCCAGTTGATCAATGTTAAGATAAGATAAGAGAATCTTCATTCGTCCAACAGTGGGGAAAGGTCAATGTTGCAGAGCATAGGTCAGTAGTAAGAGCACACAGGGAGCACACAAAATATACAATATACAGTAGCTGCTATGCTTCTTAGCTATTTGTAAGTGCATCGATATCTGTCTCTCTTAATAAAAAGAAAGCATGCAAAATTGCATAGACAGAATTCCACAAAACAGTAAGGCCACAGTTGGTGAATAACGTTATTGTGAGCGACTGCTGTATTCAAATTATTTGGTATGAGATTGGTATCATATTTGCCAGGATTAAAATACCCAACATAATCTCTACAGTCAGCAGGAGACAGAAGATGTGTAAAAGGCACATGGCTGGAATATGTTTTCAGGACACAATCTACATGTAAACACCGGCAAAACACAAAAGTCAACTCAACATTATTCACGCTCATTATGAGGAGCTAACACTGTTTTCGCTTCTCTACTCACTTATTGGACAAAAGCATTTCAATCTGGAGAGACGAGGAGACAAAATGCATTTGAAGTTTTATATTGAAAGGTAGTTTGGCGCCCTAGGCCCCGGTGCGGCGTTCAGTCAGTGAGGCTCCTGCGAGAGTGCGCGCACAATCCCCCGGGACCTAGGCACTGGTGGCGGCATTCGGGCAGCAGGAAGAGGCATGGTTGAGGCAGGGTGAGAAAAGGAGGAGGAGGGGAGGCGGTGGTTTGCAAGGCTTCGAGAAGGCCGTAAAGTGGGAGTTTCTCCGCTTTTAAGCGGCTGGCCTGGCCGGCGTAGGTTGATTGGAAATGGGCGTTTGCTGTGCGATAGGCTGGGGATGCGAGGCCGGCCCGGAAGGGGTGGTTTTGCTGACGTCTTCCAAATTGAATTTCCGCGAGGCTGCATTTCAATCTGGAGAGACGAGAAGACAAAATGCATTTGAAGTTTTTTATTGAAAGGTAGTTTGGCGCCCTAGGCCCCGGTGCGGCGTTCAGTCAGCGAGGCTCCTGCGAGAGTGCGCGCACAATCCCCAAAAGGCTGTGTGTTTGATGGAGTTTTGCAGGCCTGGTTAGAAGGGGACAGACGAACGTGCACCGCTATATATAAAGGCAACACTATTTATAAAGGCACCACTATATATAAAGGCAACACTATTTATAAAGGCACCGCTATATAGAAAGGCAACACTATTTATAAAGGCACCGCTATATATAAAGGCACCGCTATATATAAAGGCAACACTATTTATAAAGGCAACGCTATATATAAATGCACCGCTATATATAAAGGCAACACTATTTATAAAGGCAACGCTATATATAAAGGCACCGCTATATATAAAGGCACCACTATTTATAAAGGCAACGCTATATATAAAGGCAACACTATTTATAAAGGCAACGCTATATATAACGGCACCGCTATATATAAAGGCAACACTATTTATAAAGGCAACGCTATATATAAATGCACCGTTATATATAAAGGCAACACTACTTATAAAGGCAACACTACAGTAGGTCCCATTCCGTTTTGTCGTCTTCATTCACGCTTCTCGGGAATCACGCAGCTGCGTGAAAAATAGTACATCTTATCGCCACAAGGTGGCAGGCTAAGTCCGCTTTAGCTCTTCCAGCGACTTAGACCGTCACAAGAGCTACACATCACTGTGTTGACCTAACAGCCAATCAGGTTCAGAGCAGCGGCAAAGTCCGCCTCCATTTACACTCATCTGTCTTTTGAAAACCGGACCGGAGCGAGGCTGCCCCATGGATCTGGGCTGCCCGCGTCAACAAAATAAGGTAACTATTATAATATAAATAAGTATTAATTCTCATTACAGTGTTGTCTGCTTTGCTATATGAGCCGTGCAGTGATTAACACGATAAAAGAGGTTTGTGGGAGTCACTTGTTCGTTTTTATGTTAGCTTTCTATTGTGGCTAAGGAGCGAGCTTGTTAACGGTCTGTGCTAAACGTAACGTTACTACATTTGATATTAATTGGTGGGCTTGTTTAAATGGATCATACAAGATGCCAGCGTGACTATTCTTTGTTCCTTGTGGGCTGAAACTGGCATTAAAGTGGCGCAATGCGTCGGCTATCTGGCGCTCATTGGGCTACTAGCCACGCTAGCCTTGACATCGCTCCCGTCTAAATTGTTAGTTAACCCTAACCAGACGAAGTGAGTAGCTGTGGTTAACACTTAACGATGTAATCGATCAAGATATGTGGGGATAACTGATCTGACAGATCATTTATCAATAATTGCGCGAAGTTGACCCCCGCTTTCGTAGCTCTGTTTTTCCAGGTTAGCCACTCGGATGTGGTAGTGCTAACCCAAAGCATCCAATAGATTCATGGTGCGGGCACACAGTTTAGAAATGCTCATAAGAGGACCGTAAATGTGAAATGGCCAATGCTGGCTTTATATGTGATATTTGAGGTGAGTGCGGTGTTCACCCTGTCATGGAAGCAGGAGGCTAGCGTTGAGTTTGAGGGCTGCTGCGGAAGCACGAGTAAACTGAGCCGTTTTATTGCATACAAGATATACTTATGGTAATTAATTCTTGCTCGCGTAGTTGATTATTGCTTACATTTTCCACTAGTCTTGTAAATTTTAACGAGCCTTTTTAAAATATTTTAGATAACCCGTGTTTATGAATTTCATGATCTGTAATTTAAATAGCTATAATACATACATTATAATTTAGCATTTGTTTAAAGATGCTTAATTTGGCGGTGTGTGCAGTTTGACAGGTAAGAATATATAAAAAAAAATTTATTTTGTTCTTTTTTTCCCTGTCAGATGGAGGAGAATCCCAGATCTCTTGTGACTATTGTGCTGGATGACAAAGAGATTGCCAAAAGAGTTTACCATCTCAACACAATTAAAGAACTGATTGATAAAAGCACAAGCTTTTTAACAGACAAAGCCGACTTTCATTCTGTTCAAATATACAGTGAAGATTTTAAGGAATTTATTGATGCGGATGTCAATGTACTTGTCCAGAACCTTGACAAATACAGAATTTCATTTAAATCATACACTTCGGAATATCAGGTTTGTAATGTTCAACTATTGGTAATATTTTTTATTTCTTATTGTAACCTCAACTTTTATCTGTTTACTGTTTTTCCTTCCTAAGAACCAGCCCTCGGGTTCAACTTCAATTGGAGCCATTGCTTCATCTACAGTTGGACTGTCAGAGGTATGTCATTTGTTTACATGTTTTACATTATATTGTAGTGAATGATGAATCCTGAGTAATTTTAATAGTGTGTCAAAGTACATTCTTTTCACAACTTAAAATGTGAAGTAATATATATTATGGACTTATGGTAAAGTGACTAGTGCCAATTATTTATGCCTTTATTCTAACTTGCATTATTTTGCTTGTAAAAACCACAAATGCAGTCTTTGTCCTGACTCTGGACTTGGTCCTGATATCTTTCTGTAATTATGTTGCAAAGGTAAATTCCTTTTTCGAGATCTCCTTGTCCATTTTCCATTGTCGATTCTCCTCCATCTGACTTTAAAAAAGAAGAAAAAAATGTTTTGCCTTATTTTTATGTATTAGTTTCACATAATTACATTTTTCATGATTTTCAAATGTTTCAGCATTCACCTGTATTCATGGATTTCATTGTTTTTTGCAGAATGAACCACAGCCAGGCAATGATAGTTTGAGAAAACTGTTGAAGGAAAAAGCCCCAAATCTCCTCTTGGAGTTCGAATCATCAGGCAGTCTTTCCATCACGTCACGAAAACTGCTTGTTAAAGTATCTGTGAGCCATCTCGTGGAACAGAAGGGATTGTAAGTATTTCAAAATACTCGTATCTACACCTGTACACACACTGCAGTCCAAAAGTCTGACTGATGGCTTTCATTTCAACCAAGCAGGGGCACACCAGACCCCCTCCAATTCTCATGTAAGAAGAAAGTCTTGAGGAAATGGGTGGAGTCCGGTGTGGCTCTGCTTGGTTGGAATGAACCTGTAACTAGGCCTATCACGATAACAGTTTTGATGGACAATAAATTGGTTCACAAACATAACGCGATACATGATGCCTTTGATTCTAATACAAAAACCAAATAAGCAATTTCTACATTTGCCAATTTCACTAAGTCATGCATTATGAAAGTTAACAAAATTAAGTCATTTGACCTTGAACTGTTGACTTTTTGCATTTGTTTCTTAAAAAGAAACTCTTTTACGCCATGATTATTATAATGCAATTTACATCATTGAATATGTCAGACCTTTTGTTAATGCAGAGTTTTAAGATAAGATTACAGTTATGGTATCTATATTAAAATGTATCATACAGTTAATCATACTTTTGTCTGTTATTTAGCTATCCCTCAAAGGATGACAAAATACTTCTGACTAGAAGTATAGTAAGTCTTTCCCTCGCTAAAGATAAACTACCAGGAAAAAAATGAAGGATTTGTGAGTATATTTACACACACGTGTGTGTGTGTGTGTATAATATATACACATGTATAACTGTTCTTTTTTTTTATTGTCTAGGAGCATTTCTTTGACCCAGTTTCCCATTGTGGGTTTATTGAAATGAGGCTGAGGAACCTCCGCAAAAGTCTTCACGAAGATCAGCGGCGATACCGGAAAAGAGTTTGTTGTAGTGTACCCGATCCTGATGTCATAGTTACCCTTCACATGGCAGAGCAGGAGGCAGAGGCTACACTGGAGTGGACATCTGCTATTAAAAGGATGAAGCCCATCCCTGAGAACATTGCAACAATCAAAATGGGCATGGATAAAACATTCACAAGTCGGAGGCTTTGGATTTCAACAGAGTCTCCCACAATGCAGGAAATTGTCGCTCACTATCCACGCTTTATTGACCTACTGTGCTTGGTAAACATTACATCTTCTTAACCAATAATTGTGTTCTCTAAATGTATCATTGGACATAGTAACAAGAGAATTTAAAATGGAGATGGAAACTGCTCTGAAAAAGTTTAGATTTGAAAGTGTCAATCAATTCTTACAATTTGTCTCTATGAAAACTTAATATAGCAAGGTTGGCTTTATTTGTCTAAATTCTCTTTCTCTGGCTCTTTATCGCCTCAAACACTTTTGTGTTTGTACAATTACATAGTTAAACTATTGTATTATACACTTGCTCATAAGGTCATGGTAGTTTAATTGCTGTTTGTTTGCACATGACGCTTACATGTATTTTTGTTTACAGATTGACATTGAATTTGGGAAGTTGTTCCCTGGGAAGCAAGACAACTTCCTTTGCAAGTGGGAAGCACAATTTGTTCCCAAACTGCTCAAATTGTCAACTATGGAAAAAAAAAGGCATGCCTGATTCTGAAGAAACCAGTGGTGAGTTGTTTTGTGGAACAAGAGTACTGCCTTTCTAGGTTTGCAGTTGCTCCTTTGGTGACACTTTGTTGTCCCTTTAACCAGTTATGTTGACAGAAAATTATTTCAGCTAATTTGCTCTCAAATGTTAAACAGGGGAACTAATATAAACAATATATAGTTCTTGTTAAAACCGGCAAAAAATGTGCATTGAAACAAACTGTGTAATATTTTTGCAGAGTTCTTCCTCCAACCGCATCAGGAAGAGGCAAGGGATGGGCAAAATGCAGCGTGAAGTCTGCAATGTCCTACATCCTGGATCTCAAGCCGGTAAAGTCAAAACACCTAATCTTTTGGTCTTTATTTGCTTTTTTTGACTTGACATTAATTTTAACATATACGGTTTACTAACATCAGTAATTTACGTCTCATTTTTTTTAGTCTTGTTTAAAATGTATGGCTACTGTTGCAAGTAGGGGTGTGACAATGCATTTGAGATGCAAGAATGCTGCTGATTCTAGCGCATTTAATTTATGTGTATTCACTTTAACTCAAACAGTTGTTCTGTAGTTACAGGAGTTGCCGTTTAAAAACAAATGGATCTGATTTATAATGAGTGAGCTGTTCTTTGAGAAAAGAACCTTATTCTTTAGTGCCTTCACTGGTATCTGTTCATATCAGGAATTGGCAGATATTGAAAGTCAATATATCGTTATTGGACTTTTAAAAGCTGGATTGTGAATCCCTAATTAGCTGTGATCTCTTATGAGAGCCTTATTTTATGTATGGCATTGTGTGAATTGTGGGTCCTGCATTGTTTTGCAAATTGAATTGTGACATTTGAGTATAGTAACTGTTTTCAAACTGTCTATTTTTATTTTTTTATTCTCCAGAGTGGAACAAGCATTTTGAGTCTGACTGCAGACTCTGATTCAGAAGTCCAGCAACCAAAACTCATTTGCCTAGGACATCCCAGGAACCCAGCGGCACAATATTTCATCGTTGCAACTAATGACAAAGTAATCATCCCTCTCCAAGATGAAGGACTGGCTTGTGCCCTGGACAAACTCTTCAAACTATTTTGGGTGTGCAACCTGTCATATCCTCCTCAGGTCAAATCAGTATACCAGTTTTTGGAGTATGCTTATGATTTGAATAAGGAATCTGCAAAGCGCTCTAAAGTCTTAGAGCTGATTTCCAAATTGCATGGAATGTAAATTATCAACCAACATGTATACTTGTCCCAAGTGCAAAAGAGCAGTGTCAAAGCACATAAGACAACTCATCAATCATCTCAGACAAGTGCATGCACTAAGTGATGCACAAGATTACACCATTGTGTGCCACCAGGACAATTGTCAAAGAACTTATCACAAATTAAATTCATATGCTAAACATCTAAAGAGAGTTCACTCTCAGATTGTACAACCAGTAACGGAGTCATCGGCTAACCATGGCATTGTGTTTGAGAAAGCCAGTGAAGAATCTCCCATTAGGATGGACACTTCAGACACAATTTTGGACTCAGTCAGAATGAAACATACTGTTTTATAACATTATCATGTGCTTCAGTCAGAATGAAACATACTGTTTTATAACATTATCATAACGTTCTGTAGCTAGCTTAGGTCCTAGATCATTAGCCTGTCCGTCCGGAGGAGCGGATCCCTTTCTCATATGGGTCTCCCTCCCTGTGGGTTTCCCTAGTGCTCCCCAAGGTTTCTCACTTTTTCCCACTGGGTTTTTAAAGAGTTTTTCCTTGTCGATGCAGGAGGGTCTTGTTGGACAGTTAGTGTCCAACAGAAAGGATTGGTGATGATCAGGACACTTTAGCATTCTACAACATGTATGGACATTTTCTTCTGTGTGTGCTTTATATTCTCCATGTGTTTTGGCTGTTGATTCTCTGACCTGTGTTGGTGATTTCAATGGTTTTGTTAAGTCCTCTGAGATGACTTCTGTTGTGACCTAGGGCTATACAAGAATAAATTGTATTGTATTGTATTGTAATTGTCATGTGCTTCAGTCAGAATGAAACATACTGTTTTATAACATTATCATGTGCTTCAGTCAGAATGAAACATACTGTTTTATAACATTATCATGTGCTTCAGTCAGAATGAAACATACTGTTTTATAACATTATCATGTGCTTCTTCAGTCAGAATGAAACATACTGTTTTATAACATTATCATGTGCTTCAGTCAGAATGAAACATACTGTTTTATAACATTATCATGTGCTTCAGTCAGAATGAAACATACTGTGTTAAAAATGTTATTACAAAATATATACAGTATATTAATTCTCAGGGTTCACAGTCTGGAAGTCACTCATTCGCAGCCCTTCCTCCCCCAGACGAATAAACAAAGCCCACCCTAGCCCCCTGTTGTTTCGGTCATCACCTCATTTGACATGCAAATGTTAGCCATGTCTCAGCAGCTCACAGCCTGACTGGAATCAGGGGCTGTGCAGATTGTCCAAGTGTGCTGGTCCAGATGCATGGTTTCTCTTGAGGTTTCTCAGTTTTGGCTTAAAAAAAAAAAACACATTTTTGTGTAAAAAAAAAAAGTAGTCTTCTGTTCTCTAGATGTTACAGACAATGCCCGCATTCTCCACCACCTGAAGAAGATGACAAAGTCTGGGATCGCGTCTTAAATTCAGACAGAAGACATGTTTTATTGTCGATGGTAGAGACAGCACGAACAACAGATACAACAGAATGCAAGTGTATTATACAGAGCGGAGGCATGGAGACCTCCAATCAGCAGCTGCCACGTTGTGCTTGTAGCTCGGCCTTCAGATAGACAAAACATGAAGTGGAAAAGTACAGGCTTCTGCACATTGATAGAATGATGAGTTTAACTTTAACAAAAGTTGCTTAAAAGTGTTATGAAATCTCACATTCCCCCCTCTGGTCACACATTCACGTGTGACCATCAGGATCGATAAACAGCAACATAACATCATAACTCAATACTTAAACTCGGTACTTCACTCGGTACTTCTGTTAGGATTTAAGCAGACAGAGACGGATCGTGGTGTGCCAAACTCTGGAAGTTTATTTAAGTTTCTCTCAAGTTCCACTGGTTTACTCTGTTTCTTTCCCTCAGACAGAATAAAGGCAGTACACAGTTTATATAGTCATTGTCACGTCACACATCGAAAGACATACGTGTCACAAAGAGACAGTCACATCATAGTCATAACATGGAGTCCTTGTAGAGTCCTTGTACAGTCCTGCACGTAGGCCATATTGCTATCTAATACTAACACCCTCCCCTTTGATCACATAATCACATGTGATCACTCAATTTGATCAATCAATAAAATGGAAAAAGAAAAAAAAAAATTCCAAAAAAAAACTTCAAAAAATTATTAAAAACAAAGAAAGTGTATGCATTAAACTCATAATCATCAAATCAATATCAGTGGATTTTATCCTCTATCCTGGGAAAAAACAAACAAACAAAAATGAAGTAAATAAACAAAAAAAAAAACAACAAACAAACAAAAACAAATCAAAAATAAAAACAAACAAACACTATTGGACACAGTAGAACTCAGCAGATTCAGTCAAAACACAGACAAAAAACGAGCTGAGTCTCAAATTAGAAGCTAATTTCACTTTAATTACTCTATACTTTTATTCCAATGATAATTGTTCTTCACTTCACTGTATTTTCACTGTATTATTTTCACTTTTCAATCTTAGACTGTGTACTTTACTCTCTATTCACTATAGTTTAAAACTATTCTAATCTATTTACAAATATGTTTGCATATTTGCTTCTATTGAGCCATATTCTTAAACATACATTTTAATCTAATAAATCTCTCTATTCTGTGGTTTACACTCTAATTATCAGTGGCTTATTATCAGTGGGATTTGCTCCATGTCTATTCTCATTCTCAGGAATAAAACTGTGAACACAGTAAGGCAAATGGTCAACATTTACACTTCTATAGTGGTCAGTGATTTATTACTTTTTATTATCTAAAGATATTATTGTCAGGCATTTGGGATGAATGTACAT